TCCTGGACTGCTGCAATGCCAATGGTTTGATCCAAGGTGACATACCTTGATGGCTGGGTCGTTGGGATCACTCGGGATAGTCGTCAATGCAGCGATGGAGGACATCGAAGTAGCTTGTGGAAATGGATTGCCTCTGTCGCTTGCACGTCCTCCTATTTACATCTCCCTGTACCATGCCTCACAACTACCTCATGGTAGTCTGTTACAAAGCATTCCCATGACATCATCGACGTGTCAAGCTGCTACTGCAGTTATTTGCCGTAATTTTACGGTGGGACATACCCATTGAAGACCCCCATTGCACCCTCAACCTGATCCCTGTTGCGTAAACAGACATGGGCCGTAAAGTTACGGTGGGTGTTCCCACGCTCCTTCCTAATCTGGTAACCCAAAGCCAGCTCTAACCCTAGGCATTTAGTAAATCACCTTATAAATGGCCCATGCTCCTTCCAGGAGTTGGGGACTGGTGCTTGCTCTGCTACAATGAGTGGTATGGACATATAGAAGTATATTTCCCTCCCTTGGCTCTCTCACATATATTTAGTTCCCACACTGGCAGGGTTAGGGTTAGGAGAATGTTGCATCAAAAAAGGCCCCCTCTTCTAAGTAAAAAGATAATAGAAAGGTAATAGAAAGGCAGAAGAAACAAGCAAAGATGCATAACACAATAAATAATAGTCAGGAACAGACAGAAAACACTGCAAGTCAAAGGGGGCTAAAGAAGAACTCCTAATAATAATAAATCATAAAGAGCAAAGCAGACACTAAAGTAGTAAATAAAACTCTGGCCAGAGGGAGAAGAAATGGTAATGCTACAGAGAAGAAACTAAGATAAAAAGAAAGCATGCCCCCAGAGCCCTCCAGCGGCAATGCCAAAATAGCACTCACAAAGGCCGCTGCCCCACTGACGGCCAAAGGTCATTCAAGGGGGAAAATGATCACACCCCCAGAACCCAGAATCATCACTACCATGGTCAAGAATGTATCAGCACCAATGAAACAAAAGTAAAAGACACCCACCTAAGCTCAGGCATCACATAGGGGAAGCAAAGCTATTGACAGAGCTGGCCCTAGGTTGTTCAAGAACGTATCAGTGCAACAGACAAGGAGTCCAGAAACTCACCTATGCACAGAAGGACACCAGCAGATGGAGGGCGCGCACTCCCCCCACCTGCTGGCATCCAACGATAAAGAACCAAAGCATCTGTATAAGGGCACCAACCTATACAGCCTGCATTGGACAATGGAGGAGCAAGCAAAGGAGAATCGGCCGCAGCTGACGCGGCTTTATGGGAAATGCCAAAGGACAGTCCCACGATCACGTGATCATCGGGTGAGGTCAGACCGAGCAAACCCTATGCCCTGGATTTAAAAATAGCATGGCCTTCTATATCAAGTCTGGCCGACCCCTCACCCGACCACTCCTCACAGCGCTTACTCTCAGCCCATGGCCTCCCGCTCTGCAAGTGCTGGAAGCGAGCGAGAGACAGTGTCTCAAGGTAGAGGTGGGGGTAGGGGTCGAGGTGCCCATGCAAGTCGAGGTCGAGGTCGAGAGCAAGGGCAACATGTGGGACGCATTTGGGATGAATCATCCCTAATTTACCCTATTTCACCTGACATTTTCCTGCGAGGTGTGGCTCACCGGTAAATTACCGGTGAATTAGGCGGTGTTAATTAACAGGGTTAATTACCGTTGCCATTTTCACGGAACACTAGAAGACACCCATGTGAACAGTGCTTGCAGTAGTTGCACATGGATAATGTGAGCAAAGCAACATGACATAGTACTGCAGTTCATAGCGGTACGTAGAGGCAACTGCATTTCCAAGACATGATAGAAGAAGGACATAAGAAAACATGAGAATACAGGCTACTACCGCATGGTATGTATGCCCGCCCTCGAGGACGTCAACTTGCTACTACTCATCTTCACGTCCTTCTTCTTCTTCTCCTTCGGCTGCTCCCAGATCCTCCAGAATTTCAAGTTCTCGTCGCCCGCCCCCGTACAAACAACGTCGCCAGCGGGGCTGAGCGCAGAGAACAGCACTCGAGAATCATGCGCGTCACGGATCTCCGCGACGCAGTCAAGAGAGGGGTAGGCGTGGATCATAATCGAGTTGGTAGGGTAACCGTGCGTGGACATGAGTTCCTTCTTGTGTGGGCACCACTGGATGGACGTGACCTGCGACGGCGTCTTGAGAGTGTGCAGACGGGCGCCGGTCGTGGTGTTCCAGACGTTGATGCTGGCGTCGTTGGTACCACCGCCAGTAGCCAAAAGGGATGGCTGCCAAGGGCACCAAGCCATGGCCTTCGAAACGAAGTCAACGAAATGTGTATACGAGAGAAGGGGGTACGGACCTTTACAGCCGCAGTATGATTTCTCTTGGTCCACTTTGCATGACCGCGAGAGCTTTCAGCGACGTCCCCGACTCTGCCATCCCAGATGTTCACGACGTTATCATTCCCTCCGCTCGCCAGCAGCTCGCCGTCCGACCTCCACGTCAACCCACAGACTTCCCCCGTATGGCCGTGAAGCTCCATAACCTTGTGCGTCGGCATTCGCACATCATGGTGCCAGATGCTGCCATCCGCGCAGCCGGAGCTCAGAATATGGCCGTTCCAACTGATTACCGCGACCTGCGCCTGGTGTCCGTCCATGCTCCTCAATCTCCTGCCGGTCTCGACGTCCCAGAGTTCGACGGAGCCGGTCCCGAGGCCTACCCCGAGGTACGATCCGTCGTTGGAGAAGTCGACGGAAGAGACATACGAGCCCTCGGGAGCTTCGCCCACATGAGTCACGGCTCCCGTATCGGCCCTCCAAATGTAGGTGTTCTCGGAGAGAGCGACGGCCACGACGTTTTGCGCGGACCACGCAATGAGGTTGAGATAGAAATCATCGACGATGCCCGGGGCGTCAAGGACACGTTCGGGCGCGGTCGGTATCTTCCTGGTCTTGTTGGTCACTGCGCCGTTTGACGATGGGAGAGCGCCCGGTCGCGCGTAGAGGGGTGCGACGACCTCGCGTTGCTTCTGAAGCATACGATCGGTCGCGACGGGGGGCGCCTCATGATATGTAAGGATGCGCCTGTTCAGGTTGATGCCTGTGGCTGCGGCCAGGCGGGCAGTGTGGCCTGGCGAGCCGGACACAGGCTCGAAGCGCATTTGTTCGAGGTTGGCAGCGAGCTGGTCCATATCGCGAGTAGTGGTGATGAACCTGTCGCCCTCGTAATCGCGCTATATATCATGTCAGTCCGTGCCACTCGAGAACAAAGATCACTCGGGCGCACCATAGAACAAACGGACTTGGAGCGCTTTGTCTCCGGCTTCGGCGCCGGCGGAGGCGGCTCGTAGTCGTGCTTTACCACCTGCATCCTGCTCTCGATGCCACCTTTCCTGATCACGCCATTGCTGGCTTGTCTTTTCAACTCCCTCGACACCTGAAAGCCACCTGATACGGCGCGTTTCACCGGTGATGGCGCTCTCGACGGAGCACGAGACGAAGCTGTCGTAATGAAAGGGTTTGAAGTATCGGCAGAGCTTGTAGAGCTCTTCTTCGGCCGCTCGGGTGTCGCAATTGCCATCGAGTTCATACCATTGACGAGCGCCGACGGCGTCAATGCGTTCCGCGTCACTGAGCGTGCACGACGCCGAGATGGTGTCTTCGTAGCCATAGCAGTATTCAAAGCAATGCAGCAGAGTAAATGATGAGGTGCAAAGTGGAGGTCGCTTTTCAACCACCGCCGCCACTCCAGCGTGAACTTCACGCGTACAAAACACGTGACCGTGAATCTTTCCCACCCTTGTGGCACCGCGCGCGCTGCTTCAAGTCGGACGACCTCGGATAGCCTTACACTGACAGGATCGTAAAACATAGATTCAACATGCTTGTAAACCAGGAAACCGTTCTTCTCGGCAACAAGGTTATCCTGGTCCCTTATATGTCAGTATTGAGTCTTGAGATGTCCGATATTTCGAGTTCACCTCCGTCGATAGGAAAGAACATGTTGCTGTGCGTGCCCGTAGAATCGGACGGACGGGAAGCACTGAAGGGTCACAGACTCCAGAGATACCACCAATGGATGCTTGACCCAGAGCTTCGTGAACTTACTGCCAGTGAGCCCCTAACACTTGAGGAGGAGCACGAGATGCAGAGTACGTTCATCGCTCATAATCCGCGCAGCAAAGCGACTGCTCGTATGCTCAACGTCCCCTGACAGGGAAGTGGAGAGAAGATGAAGATAGTACGTCCAGAATAACCCTCTTTATGGTCATCTGCTTACCTGTACTGTCACCCTCAAGAATTGACTTTCATAATCCTGTCTCGACCCGCCGGCCTCGACCTACCACCCCTTACACCTTCCGTCTTTGCCTCCGATCCGGGATTCACATCGTTTCCCATGATAGGTGATGTTAACATGTTTTGCAAGGGTGCACCCGGAGAGGACGACCCAGAGTGTGGATTCGAAGCAGAAGTAGAAATCATGATAGCAGGTTTGTCCCTTTATCCTTCCCCCGTGTTTCCTTAGGCTCAGCGCCTCTAGAACCCGCCTTCCGCAGGCAAGGCTGCGCTCGGGAGGCGCTAGAGCTGCTCATCGACTACGCTTCCTCGCCTGCACATTCTGAGTCACCTACGGCTAAGCCTCTCCCCATCGCGCGTTCCTCCCTAGTCAGCCGCATCTCCGATTCGAATCTCCCGAGTATATGCCTGTTCGAGAAGCTTGGCTTCCAGATTGTCAAGCGGGTGGAAGTATTTCACGAGGTCGAAATGCGATGGAAGGGGTTAGACGGCGCGGAGCAGGTGTGACACAGTATCGTACCGTACCTCGATTACAGACCCTGTAATCTCCGTTACGCTTGCCTTGCTATCCTACGCAAGTTGCACTGACAGCTTGTAGCAGTCTTTTTCCGTTAGAGGAATCGTGTCTACACGACCGGCAATCTACATGGTGCATCTGTGTAGGCGCAGAGCCTCCCCGTCGTCTGCATACAGTGAATGTAGTGTACGTGACCGGAGAGCGCAGTGGACTCTCGACACCGATCAAACGGAGCATCGACGTCTGCAGATCTAACGCATCTACATCCCACGAAGCTGATCCTACCTTGACTCCTAACCCAGCGCCATGGCTTCGGCGAGCCATCCGCGCCAAACCAACCCGTATCGTATCGAGCAAGTCTTGAGCTAAATGTGAAATTCGTATAAAGCAACAATTAAACGATACAAAACGGCGACTAGAATACAGCAACGTCTTATCCTCCAAGAATATCATCAGCACGCTCCGTGGACGCGGAGCGCTGGTCGAAGCAAATAGCGGCCCAACCTAGTGTGCAGAATCATCAAGACCTGCGAAGCATGTCCGCAATCGTAATGCATGCTATGTCTGTCATCTGTCAAAGCGAAACGCAATTGCCAATCAGAGCTAAGAGACTACGGAACTCGGCCACAGCGAACGGCGCGCACCTATGCTTCAGAACGGTATCTTGTCCCCGCTCTCCGTAATGAAGAATATCGGCACCTCGGGCGTAACAGGCCGCTGGTATCGCTTTTCGCGACCAGGCGGTATCGGGGAGCGCCCTATGGACTCCGGTCCGGGTCGCATGACAGCGTACGTCGTAGTCGTCGTCTGCGTGCCAGAGGGATCATGCACGGTACTTTCTTGCATGTGCATCATCTTGATGATGTTCTGCTTGTACGCGTCCGCCTCGGTATCCAGATCGCCGTGGTCGTGCGCTCTAGTGTCTGCGCCATGCCTCTCGACTCCAGCCCATACCGTGGCGAACACGACGCCAATGACCGCGACGGAAGTGTTCACGCAGATGATGCTGTTCAGCGCCTGGTAATCCTTGGAGCGGTAGAGGAAGATGATTTGGACCAAGGAGAAGATGACCGGAATAACGAAGTTGGAGACCGCGATATAGAACAAAGTCTTCAATTTGCGACCAAGGGACCCTACCAGTCTTTTAGTATCCCCACGCGAGATCACGACTGACTTCCTCACCTCCACGAATGTGCGGTCGGAGCTTGGCAAGGAACGCGACCGATGCGAAACTGAAAATTGTACGGGTGAGGAAAGCGACTGAATCAAAAGTTGACTTGGACGTACAGGTTATCTGCGAGCTGTAAGAACCACTCGACCTTCAGGTACGGCGCTGTAATCAGCAACTCTATCGATTGGTGTCTACTTGCGGCGTCCGCGAGGAGTTTGATGTAAACTATCAGATTCGCTATCCGAGCTAGCTTCAGAGCGATCGGCAACCCAAAGATAAGCAAACGGCGGGGGTTTGAGGTGATCCTCCATGGGTATACCACGAAAAGACGCGCAAGGAGGATGGTGTCGACAAGGATCGATTGGAAAATACCCAGGACGCCGATGGCGATCGTCCAAGATGCTGAGAGAGGTTTGGTGGGGTTCGTAAGAGACGTGACCTTCCAGACGTTCCATCGTTAGCTACGCGTGAGCCTGAACGGATTCGAGATACACCGTACCGCATAGATGTCGATTACAACGCCCACGGAAAATGCAAGTAATATGGATATGACGTTCAGAACGAACGACACCTGTCTCCGCGAGCGCGGTGTGGAGAACCAGAGGAGCGCGATGAAGAGCGGGACATATAAGACCGTGAACGTGTGGGCGACCAGGACGTTATCTACTTCCGCCTGAATGGTCTGCAGATAGTTCGTGCCAGGCGGGGGAGGAGGGGGTCGGGCCTCCATGGATCGTCCTCGCCGTCTGCGAGAGAGGAGCAGCGAGCGCGGCCATCGGATTCGGAAATATGTAAAAGCTGAGATGGGTCAAGCGGATTGCGACACATGATTGGCCCATTTGGCTGATGGTTCCTCGCCGAAAGGCCATGATGCAACGCCCGGGTCAGTTTTACCTGCGAATACCCCGCGTCTGCTGATCGAAACCGCCGGGTATTGCACCCGGGCGCAATAGCTTATCGGTGTCAGATGTGGCGTTGCTACGATGTGGCCGTGGCTCCGGTCTGTCTTCTGGGAACATTCGGACGATCCTCAGCTTCTGCATTCCCAGACATTGCGCTAGATTGGGCACATCGCTTGTACTCATACTTCCACGGCTGCAGAGACTCGCCACTTGGGGCTCAGAGAAAGACGTGGCGTCAGTACTTGTCGCTGCGTCGCTGCGAGTACTAGTCCACAATTTGTTCACAACTATCCATCACAGTTATGTCAACTCGATGAAACTTGCCTTTCATGATTGCGGATCACAATTACTTCGCTAGCTCAGTATGTACGCACCTCAAAGTGAGGTGGTACTGCGTAACAGTAGATGCTCACTGAATCTAAAGCTGCTCCGAGACCTCCGTCTCGTAATATCGCGCTCTCCAGCCACTGTAGCTAGCTCCGTAGTCGTATACGAAGATGAGAACGCCAGAGGAAACTGCGAAGGCCCTCGTAAAGGTGAGGGGGTTCGCGTCGGTCCCATTCCAAAGTAAGCCCGTCGGATGGTACGGCCATCTACTCCGGTTCGATATCACCTGCACCGCTGTGGTTTGACACACCACGGCCTTAGAGCAACCCCCCACTGAGGGATGACTTCCATGGGTTAGAGGGAAGGTCCCATTAACTTACGCTTTCACGGCATTAGCTGCATATGATGCCCGTGCGCTCCGGTCCAAAGAGTCGTTGACCCCTCGGAATGGCATAAGGAGCTCTGAATAATCTCGTCTGTTATAGTCTAATGATATCGAGGTCTGCGTCATCGCCGATCTGCGCGACCAGCTATCTCTGATATACTCCCGCACCGCGGGGGTGATAATTTGAGGGCAGTGTGTTTCGATAAGATCGAATTTGACTTACCGGCGGCCAGGACGAGAATAGCCAGGATGCACTCGGAGCTGGGCAAGAAGAGGCAATGAACTATGAGAAGCGATAGTGAGAGTGAGAGCGCCATTGAAAGGAAGACGGAGCAGAAAGAGAGAGAGTTGGTTCAGGCGGGTGGAGAGCTGCCGTAATACCCGGCACTTGTTCGATTGGGGCCACGACCAGTCGGACCGACCGAATGACGCCCCGACCCTGCACGAACCAAGATATAACTCAGGATCAGCGAGTGAGGATTGACATTACAGCGATAGCAAATGTACAGTACCCAATAATCGATCAGTAGTCTATACCCGATGGCGGACGAGCACAGCGCCAATGTTTAATATCTGACCTTTTTCAGGTCCCTATCCAAGTCGGCGGCTCTTTTACCCTTCCCAAATATCACCACTGTCCCTCTCCCACCAGCCCGCGCCGTCCTCCCCGCTCTATGCAAGAAATCGACCTTATTCCTCGGTTCGTCCATGATAAAGACATGGGACACCGAAGGCGAGAAATCCAAGCCACGCGACAACAGCGACGTTGTCACCAGCACGCGCGGGATGTCAGCATCGTCCCCATCAGCCACGACCGGAGATGTATTCTTGAGGAACCCAGCGAGATGCTTGTTGGAGCCGCGCAGCCTCTGCTCGCCCGTACTAGTGATCTCCACGCACTTGACGCCTTCCTTTTGCAGGTACGCGCACAGGTCGTGCACCTTCGTCGAGCGATTGCAAAAGACGACGATCCGGGACAACTCTCGGCCCTCAGCCGCGTCCTCCGCCCATACCTGTTTTATACGCTTCTCGACGTCGGCGTTCCTGTTCCCGCTCGACGTGCCTACCGTCTCCCTTTTCAGCGTCCGGGGTAAACGGTGCAGGTTGGGCGACGCGAGGCGCGTCATCGACGAGTGGAATTTCTCCAGGTACGAGTTCAGCATCGCAGGTATGGTGGCGGTCGTGAGCAGTAAGTGGAATGGGTAGTGGACAGGGCCCGCGGCTATATTTGCCTTCGGATCCAGGATATGCGAGACTGGGTGGCCGCGTTGTTTGCTAATGTCCGACAGCAGGTCTTGGGTGAACGTCCTGAAGTCGGGATCTGGGAAGACGGCGGGTCTATAAGTAGGATGTTCTAAACAGCTAATAAACTTGCGCACCGAAGAGCACGTCGGCTTCATCCACGACGACCCATTCTACCCTCTCAAATCCCACCTCTGGTTTCTTCTCGTTATTTTGTCCAGGGAATCTCGGACGCTCCTCGCGCCAGTACCTCCCTCTGAGCATCTCGAGCAATTTCATGGGTGTGCTGACCAGAACGTCCACGTCGCGATCCTGCGCATTACCCCGGCCTTTCAGCTCGAGCTCAGAACCAGCCTCGCCCTCGCCAAATATCCTGTCTAGGTCTCTCGCCATCTGCGACGCGGACTTGGCTGAAGAGATATTTGGCACATTAGAGCGCGACGCAGAGAGAATCCTTAGTTTAATGTCATGAGAGACAGACTTTGCGAAAGACGTCAGCTGCCGGGACAGCTCGTGTGTCGGCGCCAGCACGATAGCTCGAGGGTTGATCGACGCCCGAGAGCGAGTCTCGCGAACTTGATCAGGGAACGGATTCGACTCCGTCATCTTCAGGTCTTGCAGCAGCGGTAGTAGGTACGCAAATGATTTACCAGAGCCAGTCTCGGACGCCAGGAGGAACTCCCGCCACCGACGGGCCTGTTCGCGGTCCGGTACGTGGACTTGCAGCGTGGAGACGATATGCTTGATGGACAGAGCTTGGATTGCGGTCGGGGACGATCTGGGTCCAAGGACACGGTGGAGAGACGATACGAGGCCTTCCATGAGCGGTGGAGACGTGAATGCTGTTGGTAGAGACTTCATAATCTCTTCGCGTTCTTTTGGTGACAGGTTGACAAGGGTGTCCTCGATATCTATACGACTCCTCATTCGTTCGTACGGCGCAGTACGTATCTCAGGCTCAGGCTCAGGACGAGGCTCATCGCCGCTCAGATGGGGTGCACTGTCTCGTTCCAGCCGAGGTTCATGGCTTGCTGTAGGCCTACTACGCGTCCGTCTGCGTTCCTCTTCTTCCAATACTTCTGAAGGACTGGTCTCCCGCGCCTTGCCTTTGCCCGATGGGAGACGAGGAGCCACCTCATACTTACCGCGATCGCGAGAACTTGATGCGATTGGCTTCAAATCCTTGACCAGTCGAGTGCGTGCAGATGCTAGGAGCCGTTTAAGTGGAACGACAGCAAGAATACAATGAGCACTTACGTCCTTTCCCTCGCACCTTGCTAGACTGCTTCTGGACGATGGAGGAGGAATGAAAGCACGAGCATTGTGCTTCCGAGCGGAATAACGGTCTCGCAGATGCTAGGCCTACGTTTCGGAAGAACAGAGACATATACGAGGCCCGTAATTGCTTGACCCGCTCTTCCAAAGTGAATCCCGGAACGCGAATGTAATTCCCCCAGACGCGTTAAGCTGCTCGCAAGGCCTCAGATCAAACCACTCCGTACGCCGCAGCAGCTAGAAAGCTCTATATTGCGTGAAGCGATCCAAACGGACACAGCCCGAGCAAGAGAGAGAAAATGGGACGAGCAGGTCAGTCAGTGACCAGCGTCTCCTTGGTCAAACCTCTTGGACGAAAATGGAGGATGTAATAATGTTTATTTTAGGAATTCCCTGCCTGTGAAATTAGGATATTTATTCCTTGTCCACTAATTCCTCCATGGACGAAAGTACACCTCCCCCTCCTGCAGAGGGCTCTGGGTCGCCGCCGCCTCCACCCCCAGCAGCGCCGACGACGGTCTCTGGATCCCCGACAGACTTTTTGAAGGGTGTCGTAGGCAAGCGCGTTGTAGTGCGCCTGACATCAGGCGTAGACTATCGTGGTAAGTTGGCATACCTACGAACACCTTGCTTGCACGAGGCAATGCTGAACGTCGTGGTCATCGCAGGTGTACTCTCTTGCCTTGACGGCTACATGAACATCGCGCTCGAGCAGACTGAGGAGCATGTCAATGGCCGTATAACGAATCGATACGGGGACGCGTTCATCCGAGGAAACAATGGTGCGTATGTTTCCCCTTTGTCTAGAAAGCACGTCTTCCTCATTACCCTAAAATGGTTGTCTTTGTTCTTTGCAGTGTTATATATCTCAGCGGCAGAGCCAATATAAGTCGCTGTATTCTGCACCTATGTTGGCTCTTTCGCTCTCTCGAACCGCTCTGTATATCCCCTGTGCCAATAACGAATGCTTTTCGAACACCTTGTAGCTCATCACCACTCGCGATAACTAACGCGGCGGTATCCAGTCTGGCCTCATCATTCAAGAGCGTTCTAATACACAGGTACTGCGAAAGCACCAAAATAAATGATGGCCATCCAGACCATAAAGAAGGGCACTATTTACGATTAAAGAACGCCGAGAAGATGAGGTAAATGAACGGGTGCTATGGGGGGCGCGATGGGATTGTGAGAGGTGAGTGTAAATTTATGAATACAAAAGGGGTGTCTGGGTATCGAGACAGCGAAGAGATACATAACCGACGAAATCAACGCCGGGAGCGCGGGCATAATAGAGACGTACGGGGAATTCAAATACAGATCATCCGCAATGCAAGGAGTCCAGTCGCCCAGCGCACAGCGCTGGACGACGCTCATATCAATCAGTCGTAAGTGTCCGTGAATCATCTCGATCCCAAAATATGCAATAATTTGACGATGCGGATGCTTGGTTGTCCGTGAGCTTTTCGTTCAGTCTTCATTCTTCGTTCTTCAGTCTTCAGTGTTCGTGTCACGCCAGAACCGGTCTGACTGACGTTCTTGAATAAATAGTTAAATAGCACCACCGCCGTTGTGGTGCGACCCATCCACGAAGTCCATGCCATCGAGCGCGAACATGCCCTCTAATTGGTCTTGCGCATTCTGCTGCTGGTACGTCGCCTGCTGGATCTGGAACTGCGAAGGTCCTTCACCCTGAGCAAACGTCCCCGAGGACGACGAGCCATCCGCACGGAACTCATCGAACCTGGACAGACCGAGCTCGAGCTCGGGGATGCTCGCAAGCTCGAACTCGTCCAGGCTCCCGACGCCGACGTCCTGCGGCCACTCCTGGCTCTCGCCCCACTGCGGGCACGCGGACGGCTCCTCGTAGATCTGGAAGTCGCCCATCTGCATGTGCGCGTCCACGTCGATCTCGCCCGTGTACATCCACGACGCGTGGAGCGCGTGCGGCTCGTGGATGCTCGTCGCTGGGAGTGCGGAGTCAACGAATTGGGGCGTGAAGGGACTTTGGTGCTGCGGGGATGGCGGTCCGGAGGAGGCGGACGCTGCGGTGTCGGAGGGGGATACTAGCTGGTAGTCGTTGGGGAGAGCCAGGGGCGGCAGTAGCAGGGGGTTCTCCTTGGAGCCGAGACCCATATTGTCGCTGGCGAAGCCGAAGTTGTAGGCGTTCGTCTGAAGTAACCCGTGGTGAGCTAACAGCGCACAATAAAAATCGCTTGACTTACCGAGAGCCTCGTCGGCTGCTGGAAGGACGCAGGAGGGAGACTCTCGCCGGGGAAAAAGTCGAAGGGAGTAGATGACTGGTGCAGGTTCGATGGTCTATGCGGCCGTTTGCTAATCATTGGTAGCAGGGAGGGCGACGATGGACACGAGGGCATGAAGACACTAGGGAGCTGGATGGAGCCGTAGCCAGGCGGCGGCGTCGGTGCGGACGAAGATCGGCCGTGCCCGCGCATGGTGGGAGCGTGCAAGGTCAGGGGAACGCTCTCACCGTCCGTCTGATCGTGTTCGTCGTCGCCCAGGCTCTTCTTACCCTTGCCCTTCCGCTTGGACCGCTGCGGCCGGTACACGTAGTCGGGGTACATCTTCTCGTGCTCCTTCTTCTTCTCCTTGGCGAGCTCTTCCCAGTGGAGCCGGTCTTCCGCCGGGAGCGCTTTCCATTGCTGACTGATGAGCTTGGACAGGTCGGCCTGGCGCTGACGCTTGGTGTTTGCGCCTTCTGAAGACTCCTCGAGTTGTTGGAGAAGCTCCTTGCGCTCTTCGCAGCACTTGCGGCGGAACAGGATAAACGCGTTCTCGGGGCGCTTAATGTAGCCTTCGTCGCCCTTCTTCGGGCGGCGCTCGGAGGTGGTGTCGCTGGACGTGGACTGAGTGGACTTCTGGCGTTTGTGGTAAGATCTGGCAGGCGGCGTGGAGGAATCGGAGGATACGGATTCTGCTGGAGAGAGGGTGCGTGCGATGGATGTCGCTGGTGAGGAAGCTGACTCGAATACTGTTGCGAAGGGGTTTACGTCGGGGTCGAAGGGCGAGCTAGACGGGGACGGAGAAGGACTGTCATTATTGATAGGGAAGGAAAAGACGCGCGGCGTCGGGGATATGATGGCTACAGTGGGTGGTTGTGGTGCGTCTGTCGTCACTTCGAGTGCTGCTGCGCTACTGAGTCATCGATTTTACAGGCGGGGATTGCGAAGCTACTCACAGCGGGCGGGGGTATCGCGAGTGCGGTGAGCGGGCATGATTGTTCGTTTCAGACAATGGAGAATAATACAGAATGGGAAGCAAACAAGCCCGTGCAAAGGATACAAGAATAATGAAGGAAACGCCCGCAACTGCAGGAGGGGGGAGGATAATGGAGAAAACCTAACGCTCGAGGAGTGGGCGAGCCAGCGTTTTCTTTGTCCTCGTGTCGACGGCGGACAATTGAGGGAGGGGTTTGGTGGAGAAGGTGACAATAAGGTGCGGCATCTTATACTGCCACGGAGGGTTATACCACCCAGCTCCGTGGCCGGCGAATTATCCACTACGAGCGCCTCTCCAGCGACGCCCTCAAGCCGCATCTCAGTCTGGATCTCACTGCACCGCCAGCCAATCATAGGCGGCTGTTCGCCGAGGCGGGCCCATATATGGTAACTGTGGCGGCCGGGTCAAGGCCCAGTGGCTTATTGTCTCGGGACTGGCTGTCGACTGACCAGAGTTTTGAGACAATAGAACGCCCTGGCTGCACCCGAGCTTATTGTCCTCATGCCTTCCCGTCTTCCTATCTACCTCGATTGCACTCACGATTATATCCCAGACTGTAATCTCGGCTCCTTGATCCCTGCGATGACTAGGACCTTATCCTCCATTTCTCCCCCCGTCCCGGACGCTACAGCCCTCGGCGGACGTTCACTATCACGTATTTCGTTCGCGATGAGGCGCCCACAAGCTCCTGCAAAGTTCGGCGACCTCGGTTAACGATCGCAGGCACGATTCCACGGATCGTACAGCCCGGTGGCCCTGCGTGATCCCCCGCACTGGCCAGGGCTTATGAATGCTCCCAATCCAATTATTGCGCAGACCGAACAAGTCGAGTGTACTCTTCTCGGATGGGACTTACCCACCGATCTGAATTACCCAGTAGCGCGGCAGTCCACCTGAGGGGCGGTTCCGCGGTGGCTGAGCACCCACTGCTGATCATCCTCCTCGTGCTGTACAGCTTGCCTCTGACGATTATCTGGTGTCCTCGTGCTAGCTTACCGGAACGGAAACGTCATACTGTGACGCCAGGCGTCGCCGGACTCGCGAAGTTTCTCCTACAACATGGTTTCCATGGCGAAGACTACGTATTGTCTCTCCTCGAGTCTAAGACTTCCGCCATATTGTTTCAATCCTGACCGTGCTGTCAACGGTAATCACGTCCTTCCACCTAGCCCACCTTCCGCACGTGAAGGGCTCGTCGGCAGATGGATGACATGTGAGCTTTCGTACCTATGCCGGAAGTTGAGGTGTCTGGCCTCTCGCTCCATAACATGACTTTCAACTTCGGTTCACTGCCCACGACACTCCGCAAAGATTCGGCTGCATAATGATGTCTCAGACATCCGCAGGGACACGCCTCGATCTTCTTCATGATGCTGGACTCGCCATATCGCGACTCCTATCTCGTATACGCTCTGGGACTCCGCGTCGCTCTTCTCAACATTCCTGGCCCTCTCCTTGTTTTGCCCACGTCAAGGGCTTCTCGCGAGCCTGAATGTATATACACCAGTCTATCTACGGCATGGTCTCGTGTGCTAGCTACCATTGTCATTCCAAGACATATCTCGTCGTTCGCCGCGGTTACTAATGCACAAGGCTAAAGAATGATGCCTGCGTATTGATGATGCCTGGTAACACGGCATTGACCACGCCTCGATTACTGATGTCTCATCGACGCTTGCAGGGTACCTCGATCTTTGCCATGATCCTACGGCGCGTTCGATTGCCTGCTCGCCTATATTTTGCTTTATCTTACTACACAACTTGCACCGCAGTACGACAGGATATCGATCACCCCGCAGCGTGATGCCTTCCACAGCATCGTACTCAACCTGTGCTTTCAATGTGAACCTTCAATGTCAGACTCACTCTGATATCTATTCTTACATCGTCGTGTTTTCGTGTTGTACAGCAGCGGGTATCATTCTATTAGTCAGATGCGTCCACAGAATATGTACCTAGTAGTACAGATTGGAACATCCCACCTCGGGCCTGAAATGACAGCAGCCAGATCGTACGGCTGGTTCAGTTCAGTGAATGATAAAAAGGGGAACAAACAGAAGTACAGGGGGTAGATGCGATAGCAATGCGAGACGTGAAGAAGGTGAAAGGAATAAGAAAAGCGGTATCAACACACAAGTGTCTTTTGATGCGAACGTTGAAGATTCCGCCTACGCGGGATGAACCGGTGTTACCAACAACTCCCTAGTCCTCTGTCGGGACGCCCTTGACGCCTCCACTCTGCGTCCGCCCGCCATCCCTCGCGCGCACCGTATGCAACTGCGGTACCCGCCTGCTGCTATTACTCCTCGACGACACGACCGAATCCTCCGGGGACTCGACGGTGACAGGGAAGGGATAATGCTGCTGCTCAGGCGGGGACGGCATCCGCACCACCGGCACGGCCGCCTTCTTCGACTTCTTGTGCTTGCCCTCGCGCTCGCGCGGCTTCGACTGCTGCTGCTGCACCGGCGCCGACGGCTGCGCCAAGGGCGTCGGCAACGAGGGATCGACCCAGTCATCGTCCTCGAGATCGTCCTCGACGCTCTCGTCCTGAGAGCTCACGCTTCCCCGCCGCTTCTCGTCGTTGATCTCAAACGTGCTCCTCGAGCTCGGCCCAGGCGTAATGGGGCCGATGGGGTCCTCTTCCGTGTCCACCTCTGAGCCCTTGCCGCCTCCAGGAATACTTGCGGCCGGGGAGGCAGACGTGGACCTGGCGTCCATAAACTCCTCCTCTTCCTCAGGCATATCGATATCCATGTCGGGCTCGGAGATCGATTCCAAGCCCATATACTCGTCCGAATCAGAAGGCCAAGATGGCGGTTCGTCCTGTATCGAGAAAATGGGCTTGTGCTTCCGGGACAACTGGTCGTCCAATGTTAGTGCCTACTCTCATAAAATGCCGCGGTAAGCCATCTACTCACCTCTGCCATCCTCCTCCGGAAATCCAACCAATCATTCTCATCCTTGCAGAGAAACCCAATGAGCATGCTGGGATCCAGCCCCGACAGCGGCATCTTCCGAACGCGGTCGCAATGGAACGTCCTCAGCTCCGCCGCCGAATACGCCGTCACATAATGCTCCTGCACCGGGTCGAGCTGCTCGCCCTCGCCAGGAATCTCGATCTCTGAGTCCGTCGTCGCCGCCGTCGACCACCGCCCGTGCCCATGCGACGACCCCGACGCGTTCGTCGACGTCGACAGCTGCTTCTGCAGCGGGCTCGGGCTCTTCGAGTGGTGGTGGTACGAGAATGCGGACGAGCCTGTGCGCACGGACGACGCGGGCGACGTCGGCGTACGCCCGTGCTGCGGCGACGCGCGGAAGCGGCTCTTCCGGTGCCCCGAGCCGCCGCTCTCCCAGTCCGACACGGACGAGTCGCGGTCCCACTGGTCCTGGCTCGGCACGCGCGGCGTCGCGTCGCTGCTGTAGCTATACGGCGGCGGCGGGCGGAGCGGTACGGCGGGCCGCGCGTGGTGCGGGTCGAGGTAGAAGAGGTTGTCGGCCTGCGAGCCGACGAAGTAGTACGAGGAGGACGGGCGCCCGCCCGCGATACCCACTGACTGGGGGAAGGTGTACAAGGTCTAACTCCCGCGTGAGCCCGCAGCATGCGCATCGTAGGCAAAGAAGAGTACCTTAATCGCGTCGTAGTATATGGGATTGACACCTTCCAGACCTAGTCGGATCCCGACGAGGACGAGGACCGGGCGGTGACCCCAGGAGGTCCGTGGCGATCGGCGAGGCGAGCCCAGCTGCCCGTGCGATGCCGCGTATACATCCGTCTGGTACACGACACTGTCCACCGCGACAGCCACTCCGAGATTAGCGTCTGGAAATGCATGTACAAGAGTCCTAGAAGCGAGTCTCGCATGAAGAGTTGCATTAATAGCAAGGCAAGAATGCACTCACTTGATTGCCCCTGCAGCGGTGCTGGGGCCGAACCACTGCCCGACGTCCTTGCCTAGCTCTTTACCGGCAAGAGCCATACGGTGGACACTGAAGGGACATAGGGGTGATGGGGAGTCGAGGAACCATGTGATGAGACGAACATAAGTAGCATAGTCGGCGGTATATACAGGAGCTGGTGGTCTTCGCCAGTCTGTGATCGGCCTTAGTGCTTGACAGGGAGGTGGAGAAAGATCAAGACGTACCTCGTCCTAGCAGTTGATGGAGGAGTGCATTGGCTAATAGTGACTGACCTGTGCGTAACATACATCCCCACCCCGCGTCACTTGTCCACCCCTTCTCCCCTCCTAACCAGTTCCACTTCTTGGCTGGGGGACTCTGTTGGACGGATTCTCCGATCTCTGACTCGAGCGCTGTGAGGGACGAATCACGGATGGGAGCAAATTGAGAGCGATACGTGAGCCATATCCGAGACGTAAAATCAGCATAAAATTCTGGCGGCCAGTTGGCAGCGGGGTGTTTCGAGTTGGGGGACGACAAGGACTGAGAAAGTGATGGATCGGGATGAATGGGAGATTGGGTAGACGAGGAGGAAGATGAGTGGTGTGAAGAAGATGCAGGCGAGCGTCGTGAATCTGCGGAGCTGCGACGAGGAGAAGGCGTACTTGGGGGCAGCGGGGGCGGGGGTTCGTACCCCGAGTGCTGCACGCCGAGCAGCCAGATGGGGTCGGTGCACTTGTCGGGGGTGGCGTCGCTGTCGAGGAGATAGCGCATGGCCTTGTCGAGATGGCCCTTGCCGTGCTTGGCGGCGGCGAGGAGCGCGGAGCTCTTGCCCTTGGGGGAGCCGACGGACGCGGAGAGCTGCTGCTGCTGCGAGAGGAGCGACGGGAGCGAGAGGTCGGTCGACGACGTGCTGAATGTGTGCTGGAACCAGCCCGACAGGCGCGTGGGCAGCTCGGTGAGGCGCGCGGAGGACGACGGCATGAGCGAGACCGACGGGTGCATGTCCGCGGCGGCGCTCGCCGGCCGCTCGGAGCGTGTGCGCGGGCGCTGCGAGGCCTGGCCAGGCGGCGGGGGCTCGACGATGACGGGCGGCTCCTCGGCAGCGGACTCGTCGTCGTCGACGTCGTCCAATTCGCCGGGGTCGTCCCGCTCGATATCGTGCTGCGATCTACTCGCGCGGTGCTCCTTGTCCTTGCCGCCGAGCAGCCTGCTCCCGCCCTTGCGCCTGCCCGCGCTCGACGATTCCGCTATCGGGTCCGACGCGGCGTACGCTGGCAAGTGCGCGCTGCTGCCGCTGGCACCCGGGTCCGTGAGACTGGCCGACTTGGAGCGGTCGCGGGTCTGCTTCTGGAGGAATTTCGGCAGCTTTGACGACGAGCCATGGCTGGGCAGCGGGGAAGACGGCGAGGGCGACAGGCGCGAGCTGCGGGTCGACATGGGAGAGGCCTGCTCGTCGTTGTCGGCGATGAGGACGTGTGTGGCCGTATTTGGTCGCGATTAGTGCAGGGCGGCGCTTTAAACGCCCGTTCTCTTCCACAAATTTCCAAGTCCCCTTCCGTTTGTTTACACCGCGACAATCCAGTTTATCGAAGTCTTACCTTTCCGAAGATTCTGTGCTCGCGATATGTCAGAGAACAAACATTTGTCGTAAATCAGGTGCATCGAACGAGTACGGCAGCGGGACGCGCGAGGCCGGGTCGGCCAAACACCTGCTTGCGCGACCCAGTCTCGGTGGTCCTGCTTGCCTTCTACCGCCATGTCCATCGTCGACGGCAAGTATATCAAAGCGTCGTTTGCAGCGCCTTACGTTGCCCACGTCGAGCTTAGCAGGTACGTGAGCATTCGAAGCGAAGTTCGAACGTGGCTGCTTGCGCGGCCGCCAGTTCGTTCGACCGACGGTCTTTGCACCAGGTGAAGTTGCCGTATTTTGCGTCGCAGGATGTTTTGTTTTGGGCGGGCAGAGTCTGAGCAGCCTGCAAGGGAACTTATGGATAGGGCAGTGTTCAACTTTGCCAGTGGCAAAGTCAGCTTCATCTGGTGCAGATTCTCTCTATCAAATGAACTAGTGGCTGGCACAGAAGACCAGGATTGGGCTTGACCAATGCTACAGTATTCGCATGTCATGCTGATGAACTTCTCCGCAGAAAGCCGGTCAACTCATTCGTTGAGGAGTAAGCGCTGAACTTGATATTTCAAGAATCTGCCTAACATGAAGGTAGGATGTGGACGGAATACGGAGAGATATTTGACAAGATCAGCCGAAACCCCGATGTTATCGTGGTGGTCCTTTCCTCGAGCCTCCCGAAACTTTTCACCGCCGGCCTTGACAGTGAGCTGTTTTTAGTGTCGTCTTTAGCAATTACCTGGAGGATGGATTAATTGGGGTGGCCCAAGGACTTCGTCGTCCATGATATCGGGTGTATGTTAGTGGAGTGCATGTTCGCCCCACTCCAGACTTCCGTGCCGTTCTCAACCTCGGCCGGGATGTTTCTGTACAAAGACACCAGATGGAGGGGCATAGGAATCTCACCTTATGACGCTGAACTGGAGCGACTGGCTTGCGAGACTAGCCTTCATTTTAGGAGTACGACTAACCTAACAATCCCCATCGATATAGTGAACGCCCTGGATGCCTTCGCGCGCTTTGAAACCGAACCCGCGAGGCGCGCACTCCAGCTGCGCTCCTTCATCCTCGCTTTCCAGAACGCCATCAGCGCGACCGAGCGCTGCCCGTACCCCGTCATCGCCGCCGTGCACGGCGGGTGCATCGGCCTGGGGATCGACATCATCTCCGCGTGCGACATTCGGTACGGGTCCAGCGACTCCTCCTACTCCATCAAGGTACGCTTTGCTGGCTTTCCTCATCGCACTATCCGTGGTGAGAATCTGGTGGATGTAGGAAGTCGACGTGGGCCTGGCTGCCGACATCGGCACGCTCGCGCGCATCGGCAAGATCACGGGCAACCACTCGCTTTCAGTCGAGCTCGCACTCACTGCGCGCACCTTCTCCGCTCCCGAAGCCCTTGCACTTGGACTCCTCTCCCGCGTTGTGGATGGCGGGCGGGACGCGGTGATACGTGCCGCCATAGATCTAGCTCAAGAGATCGCGGGGAAGAGCCCCGTGGCGGTAGTGGGCACGAAGAGGCTGATGTTGCATGCAAGGGATAATACGTGTGTTTCTCGCTTTGTCTTTCTCCTGGTTCCTCAATCCTGGAGTACTAACCGAACCGTAGCGTGCAGGATAACTTGGAGTACACGGCGACGTGGAATGGTGTTATGGTGCAAGCACCGGTAAGTCTCTCCGTCACTGATAGAGCGACGGGCTCACCACCGACTTCCTGCCGTGCAGGATATGCGGGATACGATGGTGGGCATGAAGAGCAAGACAAAGCCGCAGTATGCTCCGCTAGTAACGAAACGCGGGGCCAAGCTGTAGCGACCTATGGTCAAGCGATATTTATGTATTGACTGTCGTGCGAGTCAGGCGTTAGCATGTGTATGCTGCGTGATGTGGTGTACAATAAATGGCATCAATCCATATGACGAGTGAGCTTATCTTCAGCTATGGACGATGGTCCGGATATCCGTTGCAGCGACAAGAATAGGTTCACGGCGAATAGCCGTCAGGGCATGGTCTCTCGTAGATATAAGATGTCTATACGGTGAAGGTACGTGGTCATAAATATCACATACAAAATATCAAACTGTACACAGAAAATACACGTAAATGCAAGGTCTGACGGACGAACGACCCTACGCCGCCGACCTAAACAGCCGAACATCTCTTACATATCATTTTACTAGACCAAGCTATACTTCGTCTGCGCCTTCAACAGCAAGCGAATGTGTGCAGTATCCGGCTTAATCGTCCCCTCCAGCGGACAGAACCACTGCTTGACCCTGAACCGTCTTCGTGGCTCCTCTACATGGTATTCCACCAGGTACGTGACTGGAGAATCTTCCTGGCAATGCAGGTAAGCATTCAGCCGCGGGGGGACGAGGAAAGCACCGAATAGAATTCACTCACTCCGCTATGGTTTCCGACGTATGCCGAGCCAACTACTGTGCCAGGGCGCCACCGCACAACAGCACGTTCTTCACTGCGTCTACGTACTGTGGTCGATATCCATACTGTCTCTCCGTCCTACGGTCGAGGGGTAAGTTGATGAATATACCATGGCATGGGTGAAGGACTTACCACGAAGGAGTACGGCCAGGGCTCGTCTATCCTTGCGGGGTCGAACCCGGGGTACACTACCGCCTGCTCTAAGATATCGTTCAGAAGTTTCTCGTACTCTTCGCCGTGCGGCTTCGGCGGTATCGTTTCCTTCACCACTTCTCCCTCATCCCTCTCTTCGCCACTCTCTTCAACTACCATACCTTGAACCGTCTCTTCGTCGTCCTTGTTACTTTCATCCAGCTCATCCTCCGTCTGTTCTTCGACCTCCCATGGTCTCGGCTTGCTTCTCTCCTTCAGCCTCTCCTTGAGCTCCTCCTCCGCCATCGCTTCAATCTCTGCGTCATTCATCCCCATCGTCTCCAACCTGCCCCATAATTCAAGCTCAATGCAATGTTTCTCAATCAGCAGTTGTCGTTGCTTGATTGCGCTGATGATAGCCGTTCGCTTTCCCAGGTCTGATGTTTGCCCGAGCTTCTCCAGAGAGCTGCAGATGAACTCGTTGTCCAGGTCCTCATATCGCAGGTTGAGGGCAGGGAATTTGCGTCGCCATTTCGGTAGCTCGGTGTATAGTGTGGGTGAGAACCGCGGTTCGAGAATGATTGAATACGAGTACGAAGACATTCTAGTTGACTGTGGCGGGGCGACAGATGGTAAGGGGTGAACCTAGGGACGACTGTATGAATGTAGTGATTATATCTCTCTCCAGCGACGCAGGGCTGTGGCGAAGAACGCGGTGAAGTATCCAAGCGGAATACAACATACTCCCTAAATGGGGTTGAGGAGTACGCTTCGCTGTGGCAAGCCACCCAAGAAAGTCGAATCGCACCATCGACGGATCACGAGAAGCTCAAAGCGTGCCCGGCCTAGCGCGCATTTTCCTGATCAAGAACAAAGCACAATGGGCCAGTGCGCCTCGAGGTGTGGCATTGGCCCGCTATTGGCCCGCTTTGGCTACAGCATTGATACAGGGACCCACGATACGCCGTTGTGTATAGTACCTTGTTCCGAAGAGGCGGTACGTTGCCTTGCCCTACGGTGGCCGAGAACCGCCAGGTCAAGTTGCTCCGTCACGCATGCTCCTACGCTTCACAGTCCGACTCGCTTAACTCTAGGACCCTAAACCCTTGCCTTTATCTGGCGACGAGCATTTATTTAAAAATATATCTGTTTGACATGCGTGGCACTACAAACACGTAACTCTGTCTGCTGTCGACCATCTCTACTCTCTAAGTGCAGAGCACCTGATGGAGTGGTAACCGACGATATCGTTGTCGGACCAGTTGAGGCTTCGCAGCACCACTTCATATAAGCAGGAATGGGACACTTAAGGCGATGGGCGCAGATGCATGAGTGGTGTTCACTCACCTCACCGTCGCAAAAGACCTTGGGAACATTTGGATTTGCCAGGCTACAAATTACGTCATTGTATTAGGATTGACCGCCTTGCACTGAGTAGTGTAATGAATAACGAGCCATTTATCACCGAGTTTGAGCGCAAGTACGGCGCAGGTGACAGAGCATGCGCAGCGAACAAAAAGACTGAGACATAGACATACAGAACACAATGAACAAAAAAGCATGTTGAGACATCATACCACACACAACAGTGAGACAGCGAGAATCACGGAGAGCTAAAGGACGAGTGGATCAGCATCGGCGCAAACAATAATATTGGGCGAGTATATGATGAGAGGCGGAACATGAAGAGACGATTTCGCAGAGGACTATAGAAAACACTACAACCAAACATTTGCAAACAATAAAGTCCCATCTGCGTAAGATACGAGAAATGATTGATATCTATCAGGTA